TAAACCACTGGAATTGTTAAATTAATAATTTTTCATTTTCTTTGGTATTTTTTGTGATACACAGATACGCAATAATGATTGCTAGGTAATATGTTAATGTTATCCAATGTGAAGTCTCAGATCATGTGACAAGACAATATGTGCACGTCAGCGTACACTATTGGGACCGTCACAATAGCGTGCACTGGGCCTGGTGTAACTACCGTACACCACTGGTACAACTTTCCAGTTTTGATTAATTCAAATATTGTTTGTGTGCAGAGTTGCAGTGTAGGGGTAACAGCACAAAGAGGTACGTCACTGCAGAGTTCTACGAAGCACTAAAAAGAGCTTGGATGATACTAGCATGCTTTGTCTAACTTAGACTGCTGAAGCCTTATATCACCTTCATAAGACAAATATGAATGTACGTATAGATGCACACATGGACAGTGGATTTTGTCCCCCATCACTCAATTTGAAATCAGTCAATCTGGAGGATTTAGCTATCCTTTGAATGTGTAAAAACAATTAGGCTATATATGTATTTATGGTTTGTACACTTTATTGTTCTTAATTTTATTTACTTAAATAGGCCCAATTCCACCGCAGGAACTTCGGGGTCATTATACGGGGCCGGGGGCCGTTGGTGCGTGTCTCCACCGCAGGAACCACCCCCGAAGGACAGAGTTCCAGAGCTAAACAAGTCCCTGCCTTGGAGTAGGTATTCAGAACGGCCCCAAAAAACTCCTGGGTGGGGCTTGAGGTTTACTTGGTGCTGATTGGATATACTCAAGGCGGGATGTGACGTTAACAGAAAGCGACAAAATAGCCGGCATTTTCAAAACTCAGCAGACGAGGAGTCATGTAAACGAAGAGACACGTCAGAAACCCAGCAACCACCTCAGCTCCTTCCATGTTGATAATCTTCTTTCTTATGTCTGCTTTCTTCTTCGTACTTCTGCTTCTTCTTCTTTGTTGTTGTTCTTCTTTGTTTGTTTCTTTGCCGCATCGCCCCGGTCAAAATGGCCGCGCAACGATTACGTCACATCCAGAGCCCGGTTTTACTTTAAAGGAACCTTCCTCCTTCTTCCTCCTACTACTCAGTGGAGACACAGCAGTTGAGAGGGCCGAGCGAGAGGACGTTCCTGTAAAGTTCCTGCCCCTCAAATAGTACCAGAAACTTCTTCAGTGGAAACAGGCCTAAAGTCTTCTTTGAGCCTTTTGTTTAACCCACTTTATACAGTAGAGATAGCTAGAGCATCTGAGGAAAACACCCAAATCACCCACACTTCCTCAAATTGCCATAGCAGCAGCACTGTTTGAATATAAAAATAAAAATTTTACTTTTTTTTTTTTTTTTTTTTTTTTAATAAACAAAAGTAGTTGCTAGTTTGAGAGCACTAACTTATAATCATTAACCAATTATTCTTCATGTGCATGAAGAGATTCTTCTTATAAGCATTGTCTCTGATGTAGGGGCACTGGTTAAAGGTTTACACACTGCTGACTGCACTTTATTTCATGTAGCATGACCAATCCATGGCATTACATTGAAGCAGCTCTGAAGAATCTTGAGGGATGTTAGGGATGAATACTGAATAAAGACTCTAGTCTAATTGCTATTTATTGATAACCACCACTAGCAACATAAACAATGGTTAGAGAGTATTTAAGACCATTCTGAGAAAACATTTGCCTCCAGAAATTTCTACATGACATGTGAGAAGATTTGCCTACAAACAATAGTACAGCACTACAATTTTGTTTTAAGATGACATCAAACTGTTCTATATGAATATGAAAATGAGGCTTTTAAACTGACAATAGACTATATAACAGCAAGATTATATGAAAATGCTGAAATGATGTTTTGTTTGATTTTGAGGGAAGAGTATGAGAAATTGAATGTCCATAACACCACGTATCTTTATTATACATTTGACTGAATGAACACTGGTCTGACTCATAAATCAGTGTCCTTATGTTACAGTTTTTCTCTCTTGGTTTAAAGCTGTATTATGGGGAATAAGCCCATTTTTACACCAAATATGTTCCCATTCACATGATCCAAAAAGTGTTGTGTTCTTAAAGATATACTATGCAGGATTTCCCTACAAAACAATGTATAGACTCAAACATGAGTAATCCCTCTCAATAATCATTTATGACCCACTCTCACTGTGTGGTGGTGTATTTATCTGCAGAGACTCTGCTCTCTGCCTGTATTTTCTTATTTCCTTAATGTTTTGCTGTGTTCAGGACGTTCCTGAGCACAGTGCACTGGTGAGGTCGGGACTTTATAAAAAGGTCGCAACCAGGTGCCACACCAGATCCAAGACAAACCTCCGAAAATTGTGGACACAGCACAGAAAAAGACAAATACAGCAAGGTGATATGCCAAGCAGAGATAGCTGGGGTTGGCTTTCATATTCGCCAGCAATACTGTTTACAAATGGTAACTGATAGTTCCTGCGTAGTATACTTTTATTTTACAACATAATCAACAAAACCACATACAGTGTCTAAACAGGAAATACTGACTACTACAAAAAATTGGACTCAAGACAGCAAAATAACAATAACAACTTTTTCAACACAGTGTATCAAATCATAAATTCACACCTACAGTTATCTAGTGGCAACAAAAAACAAAAGCAACAAAGTATTGAAGGCTGTTTACTGCTCCATATCTTGCCCGTGACCTGGACATGACAGTTTGTACATTTTTCAGTGGCTCACTAAAAACAACATCAATCTAATGTTAATTGAGGAAGAAAGACCATTGCTTTTGTTGGATAGGCTGTGGAGTCTCAGGGTTGCAGTTTATCTTGAGGCCCACAGTTGTTCACAGCTAAGGCTCAAATGCTTCAGTGCCACCTGCTGGACAAGCCGATGTTGTCACCTATTCCAATTAAACTTCCCCTTAGGGCTTTTATTACTGTAAGCTGCTTCAGTTACAAAACCCGGGCATTGTACATCACACTGTCATAATTAATGGTGAGACTTAGAATAAACAAAGCCATGGTTAATGTTATTAGTGACATCTGTGCTTTTTCTGCTGTGACACGTCTGCTGGGAAAAATGTTTTTTGCCATCTCCCCTCAGAAAAGTAACAGCCAATACTGATTGCGATTTCATTTGCAGTCATGTACTAGAATTTAACTATAGCCCTGTCTACAAAGTATGAAGCAAGATATTTTTATCAAGTACTATCACAAACTCATCTTGTCTCTGTATTCATGAAATCATACCAATATCTCTGTTGCTTGTTGCTGATGTTTAAAAACAGTCAGCTGTATACATGAAATTAACAAATGGTGTTGCAACTAGTCAGTTATGATACTATAAACTGTTAGAAACGTGTCTAACAAGGTTTTGACAGACTGGCCGCCTGTATCGCAGCTTTTAAAAACCCTGCAATGTAGCTGCTTTAGCTAATGTTAAAGCTAGAGTGTTGGACTAGGTCTTGCCAAATGAGTTTACACCATGCTCTTTAAGCATATTGCCACCAGGGAAAGCTCTCTGGATTTATACCAGAGTTTTGGTGTCAGGTGTCTGTGGCAACTTCTTCCATACCTACATACATACCAGAAGTGACACAATTTTACGTCACCCAGCCAGAGCCAAAGGGGAAAGAGATTAATGTATTTGCTTTACAGTAGATTTTTTTTGTCTTTTACTATGTGCATGATTCTGATTTCTCATTTGAAATAAAGGTTTTTCAAAAAAGAAGTGGGGAGAGACCTTAGCGATTAAAGTAGCAGCTAGGAATATGGCATCCAAGAAAAGTTTCTGGAGTGGATGCTCCAGATAAAAAAGAAAGTCGGCATTCAGAAGAAGGATTACAGTAATGGGGTCGTGAAAGATGTGGCAAGGTCACCTACAGGCATATGTTATGTAAACTGTGCCGACGGTGTTTGTGCAATTACTCTTACCACCAGAGACAGGAGACAAAAGTTAGCATCACAGACTAGCTGGACAAGCTACTTTCTGGCTCTGAATCCTCATCATCCAGCGTGTTGTTTATGAAGCTTTTACCCACCATGTGATGTAAGTAATTGGTCACAGAATATTGGTCATGTGACAACCATTTGTTTGTATATGTAGGGGAAATAGTTATCCCTGCTGTTGATGTTCTGTCGTCCGATGTGAATGTTTTTCTTGATCTTTCACTGATGCCTGGTTGCTGACCTCTGAACCTCTTTTCAGGTGGTGCCGTGACTGGCTTTTGCTGCTGAGAGAAGATGAGAACAAAAAATAAATGGACAAAAGCAAAGCCATCATGTTCTTTTTGTTTTTTTTCAGTTGTAAGTAACATATATAGTAAACAGTTAGTCCCTGATGACTAGTATAGTCATAGCAAAAAGGGTTATTCTGTGAGAATGGAAATCAGCTTCCCCTCCTTGCTTTACAAAATGGCTAAATGACATGGTTTCTTGTCTACATCTTTACGAAATCTGGTGTACTTGAACTCCCTCATCAAGTTTTCTAAAATCTGTGGAACTTTTATGTAACATATCAAAAGGGTAAAGAGTCAAGTTGGTAACCAACCACACTGTCTGCTTCTTTGTATTGGACTGTACACTGTGCTTTGATCCGCCAAGATCAAATGTCTATAAATGTCCATTTCTTCATTTTCATCCAAAAACCAAACACACAACTTTCAGCATGTCGAACAATCTTTGGTCAAAAACCTTTTGCCCTTCCAGGGTTCACACCTGACGGCAACAATGTCCTTCCTACCTTAATTCACTAAACCCCAAATACCAGCACAGTGCCAAACAGTGTACATACATGGTACATACTATTAATATCTGGTATGTGAAAGACAATATTTGGCTCTTACACACTATATTTTGCAACTTTATCCCTTTCATACTTTTCTAACTAATTACAGTCCTTCAGTTGCCCCCTCATGTGAGGTTAAGCTACCAAGGCTGTTCAGCTCCGGCTGTTCTGTACATGATGCAACACAGCAGTCGCCCACGGTTTCCTTAGAAATGTCATTCTCTGCTTACCTTCAAGCTTTCTCTGAAGATCATTTCTGTCCTTGGTCAGGGCTTCATTTTTTTTTTGCAACTGGTTTCTTTCTTTTGACAGGTTGTTGTGACTGGTCTGTAACTGGTCTCTTTCTTTAGACAGGCTGTTGTAACTGGTCCGTAACTGGTCTCTTTCTTTAGACAGGCTGCTGTAACTGGTCCGTAACTGGTCTCTTTCTTTAGACAGGCTGCTGTAACTGGTCCGTAACTGGTCTCTTTCTTTAGACAGGTTGTTGTGACTGGTCTGTAACTGGTCTCTTTCTTTAGACAGGTTGTTGTAACTGGTCTGTAACTGGTCTCTTTCTTTAGACAGGTTGTTGTAACTGGTCTGTAACTGGTCTCTTTCTTTCGTTAGGTTGTTGTTCCTGTCTTGTAACAGGAACATCTCCATCTCCCACTCAGAGTTGCTCTTGGTAACTGCATTTGACACATAAAGAAATAAAGAAACACTGTCAGCCAGTCTTCTCGGAGCTTTAACAGCATGTACTCACACAGTACTCACACAGGAAAACTAAAGTTGTAAGTCCAGTCAGAAGGAGAAGACACAGCAGACCCAGACACACTGCAGCAGCTCTGCAGGAACTCTTCTTCACATCTGCAGCACCTGAAGGAAAAACATGAACATTTTGTCATTTACAAAAGTCAACCTCTGTATTGTTGCCTCTCATCAGAAAACACAACTGAACTGAACTGAAATGAAATCAAAAGCTGGTGTAATGTCTGTCGTTGGTACATGGAGGGGATGAGGGCTGGCATTGTAATGACGTTCACATGAGCAAAAGTTACCCATTGAAATGCAACCATCCAAAAGTATGGAATATACTTTTTTTGTGTGAGTCAACATTAATTAATATTCAAGCATGTTTTGCATAGCTTTGTATATAATTTCTTCATGCACTGTGGGTATTAATGGTCTCTTGCTGCTTAACTCTTTCCACATTATTGTTTCTCCCACAAGTTTGTTTTTGTATTGTTGCTTTTATAATGCAGTCCTTTCTGTCCATGTGCCGTTAAGTAAGAAATGCAATGTGTTTATTACCTGAGTGTGATGGTCCAGATCCATTTGGCTCCTGAATGTTGACTACATTTTCATAAATATTTTCAGAGCTTTTTCTCTCCCTTTTCCTCTGGTTGCGATTACCTGATGGTCTCTCTACATTAACATAGATATTCGACAGTTCATCCATCATGTTCAGCCACACCGGTGGTGCAGTTTGGTCCTGTGGTGCCTGAAACCTTCAAAGTCTGCAGAGAGTGCCTTTGAAATCCATCTGTATGAACTGCGTACAGAGTAACTCTGACTTCTAAAAGAGGCTCTTTATTTACGGATGTGTCTCTCACATCATCAGGAAACTGAGGGCTAGTGGTGTGAAATACTTAAGCTGACCACTTTTACCCATTCGACCTATAAGTTGCAGGTGCCTGATGGTGCTTTCCATTTTGGTTAGTGCTACTGTATTTGTGAGGTCTCTTAAATGTCACTAGTAAAAAGTTCACCTATCTATTTGTCTGTAAACTGAAACATACAGTAGATATCGTCAGAAGGTCATTTATTTATTTAGCTGTTTATTTTATGTTACTTTATTCCTTACCTCTTTGACTTTTTATCTGCTTTCACTTTCACTGTCTTTGTCTATAAGGTGACCTTGAGTGTTGTGAAAGGCGCCCATAAATAAAATGTATTATTATTATTATCATTAAGGTCATTATTCATAATTGCAGTTCTGTCTTCATTAATTATTACATTTCAACGTGACATAATGTGACGGCAATCAGCCTTCTGCTTTTCTTCACAACCAGACAGGTAAGCTGTTACACAAGTTCATATAAGTGAACTCATTTTAAGTATAGCGCCACGACAGCTGGCTGTGCATTTTCATTTTATTAAAAAGCCCCAACATTCAGTACTGTTTTCCAGTACCCTCTCACATTTGAGTCATTTAATAATCACTTATTGATTCATTTCAGTCACTTCTTCAGAAGTAATTTAGGCTAGATTAGATTTTATTCGTATTTCTTTCCTCCCCTGACACTATGTCAAGCAATCATCTCACAAATATTATGTAAAACACAAAAAGTTTATTAAAGTATGTGGACAGTGAAAATGTTAGTAAATTAATTAGCCATCTGTTAGATGATGGGGTATTCCAGAAAGTGGGTTTAGTGAAATCTCTGAGTATGTTAACCCTGAAATGAGGGAAACTCTGGGTTTTCAGTTCCAGACAGAGAGGTAAGTCAAACTCAGAGTCAATCACCATGGCAACTGACTCTGTGAACCTAACCCGCTCGCTTGCCATATGGGACGCCTGCTCTATCCACTAAGCCCCCAACCTCCCATAAAAAGAGATTCTGCTTGCTAAATTTCACATGCCGCTTCTCTCTCCTTGGCAGCTTTAGCGGTGTTACTTTTTTTTTTACGAAATATATGCTCATATTCGCTGTAGGCGTTCATGAGCACCTCCAATTCCACAGGTGTAAAATAAGTTGATCAGATTTTCTCTCCGGTTGCCATGGTGAATCGAGGTATCAGGGCTCCATTGATGATGGCTTTTTATTGTGGTTGTGCACGCGCTTAACTCAAGGTGTACCTTCTCAGAGTTGATTGAACTAATTCAAATCAGCTGTTCTGGAACCGGATACTCAGAGTTTCCCAGCTCAGGGTAAGTCAACTCAGAGTTCAGGATTAGACTCTGAGTTTGTTGAACCTCCCACCTGGAATACCCCTCATGGTTCAGTAGATCTTTTTGGTAACATACATAAAAATTATTATTCAGTCAAATACGGCCTTACGACAGATCCTAAAATAGGGTATGTATGCACTGTAATTGAAGGGGGCATGTGGAGTTTTCTTGCAAACAAACAAAAGTTACGTTCACGTTTTCATTCACAAAATATTTAATTTTTTTGCCCTTATTTCGAAAAAGAATTTTCCTACTTGAGATGTTTATACTTGATCGTTTACATGCAGCTGTGCATACTACGATCAATACCGTCACCTTATAAAAATCACTTCATAACATGTGAAAGTGGAATGGCTGCAGCTGCATGTGCCATTTTGCTTCTTTGCATCATTATAAGATTCTTTCAGAGCAAACACAGCCTCCCTCTTTTATTCTTTCAACTACCCTCTCAAAAAGGTTGGTGTTGCAATATGTGTGCATATCCAAAAACCTGTTGATATCTAAGCCTTTAATTGTTTAAAAGAAGGTGTGATTCTACTTCTGACCAGCAATGTGGGCTTTTCTTTTAGGCATGCATCTGTACTCCACAGAGTTGCAAACTGTTGGTTAGTTTGTTTGTGTACAACATATGACAACACATGCAGCTGACTGTAAACTGACAAGAGACCATTTGTCACAAACTGCTGTAAAAAGCCCAGCTGAGATGCATATTCTGAATGTGCTGTCCAAAGAATGCTCCTACAAGCGAAATAGTACCAGACTATGCTATTTACATGACCCGTGTCAAATTCAGAACATTGTCATATTTGTAATAATAGTAGAATATTAGTGTGCAATTAGTGTTCATGTAAACATTGTCATTTAGGTATAACAACTGTGTTGGGAAACATTTCCTTCCTCATAAAAGATTCTTCTCAAGAATTTACAACCTGCATTGCTCATTCATGCTTTCTAGTGTGCAGTCTTATTCTTCTCTGCCTTTGTTGGTGCACTGCTGCGATTCCTTGTGTGCGTTTATCACTAGATAAACAGAACAGGGACCTAGTCACATAAAAACAGCTCCATACCTCTACCAGAGGTCAAAAACCTGGATACCATTGTTGTCAAATCATCTTACACCTCCCTTTAATCTCAAGGGACTATACAAAGGTATTACAAATAAGTAAAAGTAAATGAGTCCTCCATCCAAAATCAAAATCACACACATGTACAGGTATAGGATTGTGAAAAGTGAATTTGTGCCTTCAGATCAGGGGCAATTCTAGGATCAGAGGTTTAGGGGTGCTGAGCACCCAGAGAGCTGCCCGGCCAGGCAAGATAAATTTCACTGTTTTGTACATTTTAATGCAATTTCATTCCCACATTTGTGAAAGAAAAGCACAACACTTTTTGGGAAAGTCTGTGACTAAACCATCAAATCTGATAAAGGTTATTCAAATGCTGAGCCACAGCAAAAGAGGAATGGATTGGAGTCATAAAATAAACATATCGTAACCCTAATTTCTGGGGGAAGACAACTCATTTTGATACAGCAGCTCCTCAACATACACATAAACAGTATGTATGTTTCTGGAGTAAACCAGCCCCCTATAGTGAGTACCAAAAATACCAAAAATGGACCTTGGACTTATTTTTTGGACTTTTATTTGAAATGAAATGCACAACATGTAACATTAACACATTAACAGTAATTGACTTTTTCAATTTTTGTCTTTTTCCTTCTTGTCTCTATTATATAATACAAATACATAAATAAAAATACACTTCAAAAAAGAAAAGTGCTTGAAATCTACAAAATAATAATAATAAATACACACAATAGGAGTTAGAATGTTAATGGGCATCCAGTCAGTTAGCTAGTCAGTAGCACCTTGGTTTAATATTAACACATGCACATGACACAACAGCTAGCTTCTCTCATTCCAATTCAAACAGAGGACAGTGGTACTGACCACCTGTAACGTTTCCTAGCTAGAAAAAACGTCAGCTAACTCCTACCTAACAACATAAACAGTGACCTACGATTAAATGCAGCAAAAATGAGGACTGGTAATGATAATAATGTGTTGGTATTGAGTGGTAGAAGTTAAGAAATGTGCCACATACCCTGGTTTAAGCCAGGTACTTACACCACTACTGCATATTACGCACACTGGAAGGCAGCACATTGCTCTGTGCAGATAGAGCTCTCAGAGCCCGAGTCGGGGAAAGGTGAGAGGGATGGGGTGGCTCAAACCATTTTTGAGGCAGGGGGGGGATATATTATGTTTCAACCAAGTACTATATGTTTTTGACACTTTTCTAGCTTGTTAAAAAAAGGACATACAGTAAAAAAAAAAAAAAAAAAAATCTCTTAAATTTTAGGGGTGCTGGGATTCAATTTAGGCAGGTTTCAGCACCCCCAAAAATGGGCTAGAAACACCTATGCCAGATCAAACATGAATTGAATTTCAGCTCTCCATGGTTTCGTATGCTGAGTTATAAAGACATCATCTTTTCACAGATCCAGAAGTTTTGATTTTTACACGGTATATCATTCCAGCTGTCCTCCATTTCTACACAGTCTTCAGTGTTGCCCAAAAAATCATTTGGCTCCCCAGGCTTCCAGTAGCTGAAACCAAAAAACAAACCGTCTTTTCACAAATAACACAAACCAAGAAACATTTCATGGACAACACAATGCTGGAATGTGACCAGCTTTAAGCTGGAAAATTAAAATGTTTCCTGTGATTCATTTCTAGATTAATTTATTCATCTAACATAAAAATCTAAAAGACATTTTAAGGCCTTTAGATTCAGCGTTAAAGCTACAGCTGATAACTTTTATAAAAAAAGTAACTTTTTGTCATATATGCTGAAACAGTCACTATATTCACAGAGAGCAAAGTGAGAAAAATAATCTATGAAAATAAATCATATCCCTCTGCCTACTCTATTGCTTTGTAGCATTTCTAATGGCCTTACTGCATGTAACCAGAAAACAACCAATCAGAGCCAAGGAGTCTCTAACGTAGCTGTCAGTCATGGCAATTGTTGCTCATTGTGAACTGTGGTCAAATCATCAAACTAGGCAGCGCTGATCAAATATGAATCAAGATTCTGTCACCGCTATTTCTATGTAAAATGAGAAAGCTGGTCCACCTGGTGGGTGATGCTTGGTACTTCGGTTGACCATTTACAATATGGCAGCCATGACACTAATTTTGTCATATTACAGCTAAACAGTGCACTAAAATATGGTTCAGAAAACATCTGAGCTGAGAAATAGGCAATGCAGGAACAGAATCTTGATTCATATTTGATCAGCGCTGCCTAGTTTGACAGTTTCACCACAGTTTTCAGACTGTTTTTTTTTTCCCTGCGGTAAATTCCAAGGAATACTATTAAAAGCATTACGAAGAGGAGGAGTAAATATGACAAAAAGTTATTTTCCTAAAAGTTACCATCTGTAGCTTTAATGTTAGTTGAATAACAGAGTGATGTGTGAACCTTTCGGTCAGCGGCGTCCCATCAACCCATTTCCACATCCCCATGGCTTCTCTCTCAGTCAGTCCAATCCACAAGACCCTGCCGAATTTTCCTATGAAATTCTTGTTTACAGAGAAAAACAGAAATCACTAATCAATAGAAACTGAACTGATTTAAATTCACCATGCAGTTAGTAGGTTACCTCTCATTCATTACATTTTTCACTTTTTCTCTTAGCATTGTCTCTCCTAACCTCAAACTTACACTCATTCACATATAAATACACACACCTGTTCCTCTTTGCTGTTGATAATCACCAGGTCTGCACCTCTCTGCAGACAGTCATCTCTGCTGTCCTGCCAGGATTTCGTGGTAGTAGAAACAAAATAAAAACTGTGGCGGAAATACACCCATCCTTGTTGCAAATAGTAATCTGTTACAGAAAGATTAATGGATGGAAATTGACATTTTTAAATAAGAAACTGACCAATTTTAAAGAGCTTTTTTGAATTCAATAATCAAAATTAAACTATGCATTATGAAGCTCAAAGTAAAAAAAGACCATGATAAAAAGGTTAGTAAATGTAATAATTCCATGTCCATGGGTTTCCCTACTTCTACCACTCGTGTGTCTGTACTTCTGTAATGCAATAAAATACAAGTGTTCTGCTGTAAAGTTTGCTTTTACGATGCCTACAATGATCACTTTTTGTTGACACTGTCGAAGGATTTAGTTAAATTATGTTTTAGCATTGAGGTCATGCAGTAGTTGGTGATGCTGTTGTACTTGACTGCATCATATTCAGAAGTATGTATAATATTGAATATAAATATAATACGTATTTCATACCTAAAATATATATAATACAAATTTACACCTCACAATCCCACATATTATTTAATTGAGACTTTCTGCAAAAACAAACTAACTGAAATCTTGATTGGCCAGTTACTATGTTCTAGACCTCCAAAGTGCTCTGTGTGCTGTGCAGAAAGTCTGATTAAAACATGTAGTGTGAGTAAACACAATATGAGTCGGATAAAATTGTACAGTGTCTGTCCAAAAATGAAAACCAAGAGAACCCAAACATGGCACTAAATCTCCCTTTGGATTCAGGGTCTTTCATTATTGGCATGACAACCTTCATCCCCATACTAACCAAAGTCAGTCAGTTCTCTCTTCAGCTTGGCAGTCTCCTGAATAAGGTTTGTGCAGCCGGCTTCTGTATCTGGTGTCTTACTGTCAGAGCTGTCTGAAAGAGCAGAAACACTAAAATTAAATCAACAATTATGCCCACATGCACTAGGAGCAATTTGAGGTTGAGTATCTTGCTCAACGACACTTTAACAAGGGGGTCTGAGGAGATTGGGAAACAAAGCAAAGAAGCTTATTTGTACAGTATTTGTGATGTAGTTTATAATAGACTTTAAGCTTACAATAACAATACGTTTACCGGTTGACAGTTCTGACTTGAGTTTCATAAGGAGAGAACTAACTGGAAAGTCCCGTACTCTTCTTACGTAATCTGACGTAAGTTTGCATTCTAGTGTTATTATTCCTCGTGACTGTTTGTGATTCTAAACTTCCCCAAACTTGTGTAACTGAATATCACTGAATTGAATCGAAACTGTGAAGGAGCCTGAGAGCGCAAACACAGAATAACAGAGAATGTTGCTACGCTATCAATCATCAAGTGATCTGAACACTGATGAAATAATATTTAGACAAAAAAATCTTAGAAACCTCTCAAAGTGTGATATCTTGTAATTGTAATTAATCAACTGTGGCAGTAACCAGATCCACTCTCTAGACTTATGATAACAGAGAATTTGCAGAAACACAGAGCAAAACTACAGACACAGTTCAAAATGACTCACAGAGGCGCAGGGAAATGTTGAGAGCAGCTTGTAGGATGAACAGGAGTCCAAAGCTCACACCAACCACTCTGTACAGTCTTCTACCTGTGTGCAGAAGTAAGACAGACATGCACATAAAGCAGGCGCCTGGCAGCCTTCTACAGTACATGAAGCAGATTTATGGATAATGTTACCCTGTTGACATTTTAGGAGGACTGTATGTGTGACTGTAAATTTGAGGATGTGTTCAGGCCAAAGTCAGGCAGCTCTGTAAACCATTATGTGTTCTTTTCAGAGTAAACCATGTTAATTTAACAGTAAAACAAGAACGAATGTATAATTTTAATAGTTTTCAGTGTAAAATGACTGACTAAACTGACTTGATATAAAAGAAGATCAATAATATTTTCACATGTGCACTAAAAATATATAGAGGATCTTTCTCACTTTTCTACACTGATATTTTCCTAAAAATCTCTATTTTACATTTTGGAATTTAAATTTGTATCCATACTGCCTTCTTAGATAAATGCTAAAATGTTACACTATAGGTTTTCTGACTCACCGGGCACTGCAGCAGTCCCTCTACCGTCATCACTAGAGCTCCTGGCTGAAGAATTAGGTATATTTACATAGTCCATAGTGATTTCAGGTTGATCCTGAGGGACAAAGTTTGCCATAATTTACCCACTGACTAGAAAGTGACAATGATGATGGTGAATGTGTTTTTGTCCGAATGACTGTGATGTGTAATCTACTTCTTGCTTTTATTTTGATTTTGCTAAGCAACACATTTTTGTTCTTCCTCATTTTTAGATTTGACTTAAGCAACTTCTTCATCCCAAAGCCTTTGACTTCACTACAACCTGGTTACCTGCAATGCCGACGATCTTATCACTTCAAAGAGGCCTCCAATTTCCTTGTTTCACATGAGGGACTCATCAGACTCGATACATCGATTTAATGGTCAGCATTTCACTTCACATCAATGGTATTGGATTGCTTGACAGTTAATATTGAGCTGATTTTCATACTATTGTTAAATAATGATGTTGTTGGTGGGAGAAGTTTACTTCCAGGGATAAAAGATAGCCCTGAAGTTCAGACAGGGAGACGGGTAAAAGAATGGGGAAGCCATGGTATTCATCAAAGGTTTTGAATCCTAAAACTATAAATAGTGTATTCTTTCAGTCATATGTTCTGTTTCCACATAATTGTTTCTTCCTCTATTTGACCTGTTCTAAATCTGTTCACAGTGTAGTAATGGGTTTATTAGCTCACACTTGACGAAGACACACACACAAAGAGGGAACACAGAGATCCCTGATCAGATTACTGTGAACTTCTCCACGAATATTAAGACAACTGCAAATCAAACAGGTAATAGCAAACATAATTTTATTGTATATGGACACAGGTTGATAGACTGATTGGACTCCATCAAGTGTTTTAGCTGCAGTAGCAACATGGCCCCATAACCCTGTCTCCTAGAAATTATATTCATATTTTGCTGATGTTAGATTGTATCTGAACAGCTACAGCAGCTATACAGTTAAGTTATGAGTTAATCTTTAAGTTCTAACATGACATGATAACACTAGGTATTGCCAACGTGTTTTCATCCAAACTCGTTAAATACTGCTGCCATGACAGTCGACCTAAACATCCAAATATGAAGCACCAGGAAGTCTCCTGTGCAGGTTTTGGATGTTCTGGGACGGTGTGTCAATTCACCCTTGTTACATGCAATTTGTTGTTTCAAAATACTTTTCCTTATTTAACAAGACATGTACAGCTTCTGCTCATGACATGCATACATACTTTTTCAAAATAAAATTATGACAAAGGTAAAAGACTTAGGCAACGAAAGCACATGGTTGGGTTTAGAGAAAATCATCATGATTTGTCTTAAAATAACTATGGATCCTACTAATGTAGTGTCACGTCCCTTGACATACGTCACTAGTGTAGCATGCTACACATACTAGCACATTACGTTGTTACTAAAGTAATTTCACTGAGTTTTGGTTTCACAAAGGAAACAAACAGCAGGATCCTGAGTGAAAATCCAGTGTTTGTTTGACCCATCCACCTTAGATGGACTTTCTTGATCCTCATATTATGGTAGATGTTGGCAGTGTCAGAAATCGCTGCCATCTGGTGCATATTATACCACCATGAAGAGTATCTCAGTGTGTCCGTGTCAGATGCCAATATCTACTGATGAAGCAGCGGTATTTAATGAGTTTGGTTGTTGCCGGTGGCGTCAGAAATAGTCGCTACCTGGTGCATAGAATACTGCTTGAAGGGTGGCTCTGTGCATCAGTATCTGACACAGAGATCACTGACAAAGTAGCGGTATTTAATGAGTTGGGAGTGAGAGCAGGCTGCCACTGCCCCATAAAAATACAAAGTGTCCCCATATTGCAAAAAAAATATACAGAAAAAAATTGCTATACTACAACAGGCAACCAAGCGCCACCATCCAAAATAATCCTTAGCAAATGTAATCATAATCATAAATAAACTTGTCAAATTGCCATTATTGTTACAACAGTTAGTGTTACAGTGTGCTGCAGTTGTGCAGGTGGTTTGTTCACATGGTATTGCTGTACCCCAGCAGAGGCCATTACTCAACTGCTGCGGGCAGGTACAATCAATGTCAAACACTGTATTGTCTCTCTATTTCATGTATTAAAAAAAACTTAAAACTTGAATGTAATATGAGTGTTACAGAGGCTATTTCACTGTCAACAAAGAGTTTTGTGAAGTGTCAGTATGTTGTGGCATGTTTCCTGGGCATTGAAAGTCATGTCAGCAGCTAATCTGGGAGTAACAACTGATAAAATGACACCAAAGTTGTCAGAAAATGTAGCTATCCGAACCATTAGCATGTTAACAATTGCCATTTTACCTAATCTGCTAAACTTTATATAGTAAAAGTTACTTCAAAGCTAGAGAGCACAGCTGTATTTATTTATGATGTGGTAACACACTGTTGATTTTGCAGGGAGAAGACTCTGTCAGCTGCTTTTCCTCGGCTTTGGCGTGCTCTGCATTGTACAAGCCATTCTCAATGTTTCTCTACGCTTTACAGGTGAGGGTGCTTTCTTCCTATTGTGAAACTTGAAATTTGCTAACACAGTTGTGCAGACAATACCACAATATTACAAATACACACACTCTGATGTAATTTGACATGTTGCTTTCCGCCTTTTTTTTCACATGTACATATTTTTTCATACTCTCAGTGTCATTGAGCAAGGAATCAACCCACTCGGACTGCAACACAACTCATTTTTGTGTCCAGAACAATACAAAGATGGTGCCAAAGGACTGTGAGGGAAAGAGGCCTGACCACTGCAACGGATTGCAAGAAAGGCTCAACGCCTTGACTGCAGAGAAAAATGATCTTCAGAACAGAAACAATGACCTCACCAACAGGTTGAGGAACGTGGAGGAGGAGAGGGACAGGCTGAAACAGAGGCTGGGGGGTGAGAACAAATCAGGTTAAGGTTTCTGACCTTAAAGAGAAACACCACCCACAAGTATATTAAGAATATTTAGAATTCCAATATGTTATCTCTATAAGTTAAATCAATCTTTGTGAATGTGAGCTACTCTCTTTCTCAAAGCCAGAAACCAGGGAAGTATGGGAGCCTGATTTTGTGGACTCACAGTTTGTTTGTTTGCTGTGTTATACCCAAATAAGCTTTATCCTATGGTAGTGTTCTCAGTTCTGAAACACAAAATGTACCCACATATTCAGAACCGTCTCCTGGGTGCTCTAGAACATCTTTCAACACTTATTACCTGCTCCATGACTTTATACCCTATGACAGCACAAATTTGAGTTTTAGCTCTGTAGCTTTTGGATTTGAAAGAGTTGTTCATTTTCACTAATCTTTTGACTGTCTTAGACCGTAGGAATAACATATTTAATTTTTGAAAATGGGCATAGTTCCCCTTTAACTTTAACTCTTCATTTCTTCCCCTTTCAGACTGGTTTTGTTGGTTTGGCCACGGTGGCATCTCCGACTAATGACCCAGCACTTCTTGTGGTTACAAAGAAACTATTGTTGCTGCTGGGAAAGTTCAAAAGCATCGTGTGTGTGTGTGTGTGTGTGTGTGTGTGTGTGTGTGTGTGTGTGTGTGTGTGTGTGTGTACACCATTCTATATGTTAAAGTTATGCTTACATTCTCTATCAAAATCAATAGGGGGCCTTGTACCGTCTGGATGGGGATGCTGATCTCTTGTTCTGGATCGGACCGAAAGACACAGCTGGGACCAACAGATGGAAATGGGTGGATGGATCTGTGCTGACTGAACTGTAAGGCTTTTAGATGTAGTGCTAGGCTGTATAGATTTTCATAGGTCCAGTATCAGTATCTAAAAAAAAGACCAATTCTTTTCAGAGAACCGATCTTACAGGGGGGTACTTAAAATGAACAGGAATTAGACATGGATATTGTTTTCCATCTCAAAACACACAAAGAACATCCTCACAAAACTTGTCACAACTAGAAAAAAGCACTAACAAACTGATTGCTGCCAATGTAGACAACTTTTGTATTACCAGAAGACACACCACAATGATACAATTGTGAGGATGACTGTAATTTTAGTAATTAAAACACAGCCACAAATCTTTGATCCTTATCATCCATAACAGGAATTTTAACAGTATTAACTTTGTCTGGGGGCAAAAACAAAACAAAGCATTTACCTACATAGCCTGCTTACTTATTTATAGTAGAGGCACAAATATCAAGGGAAAATGACCAAATCAACAAGATCTGCAAGTCTACAAAATTGGGCAGGCAAAATGCTTCACTTCTAAAACGCTTCTAATGTGGTAAAATGCCCTGGGCAGACGGAACAACACCGGTCGCAGCCAGAACACAGTGCAGCTGTGGCCATGGGTCCAGGCTAGCTTATAGTCAAGATGGTGCCGATAATAAAGAAAATAGTGATTTATTCATCTCGTTATGTGCCTAACTTTAGTGGATCATAATATATCGGGTGTTGGGTCAATCTGCAATGTTCTGTTTCAATATCAGAACAAATGTTTCTATCAGTGTCAGTTTTTGAGCCAAAGGAAAAATGTGGCCTGCAAAAGAGTAGGTAAGGCTTAAAGGGGAACTAATGTTTTTTTCAACCTGGGCCCTATTTTCCATTCTACTTTTGTCTAAATGAGTGATAGGATGTTCAATATTTTAAATTTCTCCAGCTAGGGCTGACCTGCCTGCAGCCCGTGAGCGCGCGCTATATTAAATAATAGGGCACTCAGACAACGTCAAACAACGTCAGGATACGTCCACTAAAAGTGCATTTTTTTCACACAGATAGGCTCAGATTGTTAGTATAATTATCCGACAACATAACGGAAAGGAGAAATGAACGTCTGTGTTTACCTTTAGCTGGATTCGGACATGTTGCTCTGCCTGTTGCTGCTCCCTCTCTCTCCTCGTCCGCTCTTCAATTTCATCCGTGTACTCATCATCAAATTCAAATGGCTCATCCAGATCCAGCTGGTCAAAATCGGTTAAAAATTCGGATATGTTTCTTGTGGCAAGTGAAGGTCTGGCTCTGAAATCTTACGTCTCGCGAGATTTGAGTTGTTGCAGGAAGTGACCTTACAAACACGAGGAGTTACTCTGTTTGGAGTAATCATGGCTG